GAGGAATGTCTGACTGCCAGCTTAGGCCCGATCCCCCAGGGAGCGGGCCTAAGCCAGCAGGTGGTCATCCCCCGAGGGGTCCCAGACTGTGAGAGGGCACAGGCCGGGCTGAGGGACCCCCCGAGTGCACAAATTTTTATATATATTTGTATTTGATTTTTATTTTTTTATTTTTTCAAAAGAAAAGAGTCTTTATTCGAGCTAGCTCGGCTCCCCGACCACACTCACTGACGCAACAGCAAGCCAAGTGGCAGAGAGAGAGAACTCTGTGTGGAGAGAGGTTTTATAGGGGGGTTGGAGTAAGGGGAGGATGTATTTAATTTTTAGAGAGAGAGGAAGGGAGAGGGGGAGAGAGAGAAACATCGATGTGAGAGCACAACATAGATCGGCTGGCTCCTGCACGCCCCCTACTGGGGAAAAAGTCTGCAACCCGTGCATGTGCCCTGATGGGGAATTGAACCGGCGACTTTCAGTGCATGAGACAATGCCCAACCAACTGAGCCACACCAGCCAGGGCTCAAAAAAATATTTTCACAAAACTACTAAAATTATTAGTCAATCCAGAAAAAAACCTTTCTCAATATTTTTATCTACTGTTATTACTTCTAACAGAGAATTTTCACGTAAAGCTCCTAAGAATTGTCTTTCTAAAACAAAACAAAAAAAATTGAATTATGCCTCTTTTCCTACCTCAAAAACCTTTCATTATCAAAAGGATAAAGTTCAAACTTAGTGTGGCCTCTTGCCGCCAGGCTACATGACCAACGTGGTATGGCAGAGGCAAGAGAATGAACTTTGGAATCAGACATTCCTAGGATGAAATTTGAGCTTTTCCACATTTACCGCTAGGTGCCAGGGACACAGAGAGGATGAAAGGGGCCTAGGGACCCTGCTAGCTTTTTAAAATATATATATTTTTATTGATTTCAGAGAGGAAGGGAGAGGGAGAGAGGGTTAGAAACATCAATGATGAGAGTGAGAGAGAAACATTGATCGGCTGCCTCCTGCACACCCCGATCGAGCCTTCGAGCCTGCAACCCAGGCATGTGCCCCTGGACTGAAATCAACCCCGGACCCTTCAGTCCGCAGGCCGATGCTCTATCCACTGAGCCAAACCAGCTAGGGCCCTTCTAGCTCTTTCAGCTCCTGATATATATTTGAGGTATAATTCACATACTATAAAATTCACCTTTTTTTTTTTGCCACTTATTTTATTGGATATCTTGTGCCAGACACATAGCAGTGTTATTTATAAATAACTAAGATCTGGAAACAGCCCAAGTGCCCATCAGTAGATGAGTGGATAAAAAAACTATGGTACATTTACACCATGGAATATTATGCAGCAGTAAAAAAGGAAATCTTACCCTTTGTGACCGCACGGATGAACATGGGGAGTATTATGCTAAGTGAAATAAGCCAATCAGAGAAAGACAAATGCCATATGATCTCACTCATAGGTGGAATCCTAAAGCCCCTGGAATCTCCCGAGAGATGTGCCCGTTATATGCTGATGAGATGACTGGGAGCATCGGGGCCCCCAGAGCTTCAGGATGGGGGCTGGTGGCAGGAAGACCAGGGCATGAATGGAGAGGTGGAACTTGCGGGCCCCACCCCGGACCTCCAGAGAGGTGAGCGGGGCTGGACATTGAGTGGAACCACCAATTGCCAATGATTTCATCACTCCTGCTTACATAACGAAATCTCCATTACAAACCCCAAAGCCATGGGAGTCAGTCAGCACCCCAACTCCCCAGCATAGAGGCTTCAGTGCTAGGGACCTGCCCAGACCCCGCCTACGCACCTGTGCATTTGCCTCCCGCATAATAAACCAGTAATAGAAGGAAAGCAAGGTCCTGAGTTCTGGGAGCCGTTCTAGCAAGAGATCGGACATGGAAGCCCCTGATTATAGGCGGTCGGTCGGTCAGGAGTACAGGTGGCAACCCAGGGACTTGCAACTGGTGTCTGAAGCAGGGGGGGGGGGGGTGGGGGTGTGGGGGATACTCCTGTGGGGCTGAGCCCCTCACCTGTGGGATCTGATGCAACTCTGGGTAATTAGTGTTACAATTAAACTGAATTGTAGGACACCTTTTTTTTTAACCCTCACCCAAGGATATTTTTTTCTATTGATTTTTTTGAGAGGGTAGAAGGCAGGGGAGGGGGAAGAGAGCAAGATACATTGATGTGAGACAGACACATTGATTGTTTGTATCTTGTGTGTGTGCCAACTGGGCCGGGGATTGAATCTGCAACAGGAGTACGCACCCTTGACCAGGAATTGAACCGGAGACCCTTTGGTGCATCGGCAGGTGCTCCAACCACTGAGCCATACTGGCCAGGGCAGGCTGCCCTTTTTAAAAAAACTGTTTTTGATGTCAGAGAGGAAAGGAGAGGGAGAGGAGAGAGAAATATCAATGATGACAGAGAATCATTGATTGGCTCCCTCCTGCACGCCCCCACTGGGGACCGAGCCCACAACACAGGCATGTGCCCTGACAGGGAATCAAACCATGACCTCCTGGTTCATAGGTCAACACTCAACCACTGAGCCACACTGGCCAAGCAGATCGGCCATTTTTAAAAAATATATATTTTATTGATTTTTTACAGAGAGGAAGGGAGAGGGAGAGGGAAAGAGAGAAACATCAATCAGCTGCCTCCTGCACACTCCCTACTGGGGATGTGCCCGCAACCAAGGTACATCGATTCCTTGACCGGAATCGAACCTGGGACCCTTCAGTCCGAAGTTCGACTGAGCCAAACCAGTTAGGGCAGGACGGCCATTTTTAACCAGAGAGCTGGAGAACTGGTTGGTGTGTAGGGGGACACCCCCACATTTGGTGTCAGCAGTGTTGTGAGTAAAGCAGACCCCCCCATACCACAAGCCACGGGGTGGAAGCTGAGTGTGGCTTCCACACGGTAGGAAGGCCCCGCAACTAACCCTGTGCCCCAGGCAGCCGACCAAGCCGATAGCAGCCCAAGGAGGAGGCGCAGGTGCCCAGAGGCAGAGCCGGGGGCATAGCTCTCAGAACGCTCTGCCCTTGAACTGAAACAGCCAGACACCAGCGCACAGGAGGAAAGCCAGAGACGGCACAGGAAGGACTTCTTCCAGCAACAGCACACGATTTCTTGAACTTAAGGAATTCAGTTAAAGGAGAGCAGGGTCTCTACTGAGATCCAAATTAGGTAGAGTGCTAGAAACGTCTCAAAATAAAGAGCAAAATGATAGAGCGCTCGGAGGGAACTGCTTGAAGAAAAGACTAGCCACCCTGACTGGGTGCTCAGTTGGTTAGAGCATCATCTGGCTGCACCAAGGTTGCGGGTTTGATTCCCCGGCCGGGGCACATCCAAGAGTCAACCAATGAACGCATCCACAAGTGGAACAACAAATCATGTTTCTCTTGCCCGGCTGGCGTGGCCCAGGGGTTGAGCGTGGACCTAAGAACCAGAAGGTCACGGATTCGATTCCCCGTCAGGGCACATGCCTGGGTTGTGGGCTTGATCCCCAGGAGGGGCCGTGCAGGAGGCAGCTGATCAATGATTCTCTCTCATCATGGATGTTGCTATCTCCCCCTCCCTCTCCCTTCCTCTCTGAAATCAATACAAATAAGTTTTTAAAAATCCATGTTTCTCTCTCTGTCTCAAGTCAATTAAAAATTTTTTTAAAAAAAATAAAAAAAGTGTTCTAAAGTTCTCATCTTACTGGGTGAAGGAGAAGACGAGAAATGGATCTCGGAGTCGGGGTGACCGTGCGCTTAGGGGCAGGACTGCGCCCCTGAGGATCAGAGGAAGGAAATTCATCACGTAACCAAGGGGGGAAATTCATCTCTTGCAACCAAGCCTGGGAACCCAGGAGCTGGGGAAGAAAAGATGGACATATTTGACTATGTCAACATTAAAACGTTTTGTGTGACAAACGATGCCATAAATAAGGCCAGCTCAAATGGTGGCGCTGGAAAAAGATTTGTCACATAAATAACAGTCACAACTGCCGTTGAGGAACGTACTGCGCGCTGGGCACCGTGGTCTGTACATTCCAGGTCCTAAGTCATGTATGTCCAGAACAAACACTACGAAGTGGGATGGCGAGGATGAGGGTGACGGCGACGCCCTGTAGGTGAGCCCACGGAGGCCTAACCAGCTTAACGGACTTGCCAAGGTCACAGCGGGTCCGGGGCGGAGTTCTGAGTGACCCTTGGCCGCCGGCCCCAGAGCCAGTGCTTTCAATCACTTCTGAGCAATTCAGCCAAAGGCCAATGGACACTAAATAAAGAGCTTTTACGGACTGACCTGAACAAGACAAACAACCGATACAGAAATGGACTTAGCCTATAAATAGACCATTGATAGACAGCCACAACCAAATGGCCAGTGCACATACAAAAAGACCCTCACGTCCAACACAGGTCAGGAAAGTGCCAATGGAGGAAGCAATGGGACCTCCCTACGCATCCATGAGAGTGACACGGACAAAAACAAGCGGCAGCAGCAAATGCTGCCAGGAATATGGAGGAAAGGGCGCGCTCGCTCACACATGTGAAGGTTTGCAGCCATTGCGGAAAGCAATCTGGCAACATCTGTTACAATTGAAACTAAACATACCCTTTGACTCATTAATCCCACTTCTGGGAATCTGTCCCAAAGAAATAAAAAGACCACTAGTTAAGGATAAGGATGTTTATTGGAGCTCGTGTGTGTGTGGGGGGGGGGGGGGGGGGGGGGGAGAGCAACAAAGCAAATGCCCATCTAAAGAAAAAGGGGAGGATGGAATGGATTATGCTATATCCTCCCAACACACATTTTAAAAAATATATATTTTTATTGATTTCAGAGAGGAAGGGAGAGGGAGAGAGAGATAGAAACATTAATGATGAACCCGGCAGGCGTGGCTCAGTGGTTGAGCATGGACCCATGAGCCAGGAGGTCATGCTTTGATTCCTGGTCAGGACATATGCCCTGGTTGCGGGCTCGATCCCCAGTGTGGGGTGTGCAGGAGGCAGCCAATCAATGATTCTCTCATCATTGATGTTTCTGTCTCTCTCTCTCCCTCTCCCTTCCTCTCTAAATCAATTTAAAAAAAATATTTTTTAAATGTGGTGGATCCATACAATGGAATATTATAAAAAGGAATGAAGTGTTGACACATCCTACAATGTAGGTGGACCTTGAAAGAATGCTAAGCAAACAGAGCCACATGAAAGGCCCATGTTTTATGATTCCAACGATATGAAATGTTCAGAACAGGTAAATCCTGAGAGACAGAAACCAGATTAGTCCAAGGATCAGGGAAGAGGGAATGGGGCGTAACTGCTTGGTGAGTATGGGGGCTCCATTGGGGGTGATGGAACTGTTTGGAACTGGATAGAAGTGGTGGTTGCGAACATTGTGAATGGACTAAATGCCACTGAATTGTTCACTTTAAAAATGGTTCATTTGATGTCATGTAAATTGCACCTCAATATTTTTTTTAAAAGGACCTTGAGGAATTTTTGCCTAAGGGTGTAATGTTTGGAGCAGCTGAGCCCCTTGGTAGTGTGCGGAGGCAAGCAGATGAAAGGATGGCCGAGCAGAAAGATGGAAAGAACCTGGGCTCTTTGGCGCGCTCTGGGAATGTGATCTCTGTACTTCTGATGATGCAATGTAGTAAGTAAATGCCTTCTTTTCTTACAACCATTTCTAGTGGGGTTTTCTGTTACTTGCAGCCTAATCGATATGGACTTCAAGGTTCTGGAAAAGGAAGGCAAAGGCATTTCAGTTTATAAATAGCTAATGTAGAAGAATTCTCAATAGTAGTTAATTCTCAGGGTTAGACATGGAGTGTGTGTGTGTGTGTGTGTGTGAGAGAGAGAGAGAGAGAGAGAGAGAGAGAGAAAGAGAGAGGGAGATTCCCAAATGAAGCCCAGTCTCAGCCTCCCTGTTGTGTCTAGCTAGTCTTAGTATTACAAAATCAGGGTGGACTTGCTTTAGGTGCAATACTGAAATAATTATAGGCTTGTCGGCTCTGAGAACTACAGGTAAGATGGAACCGCTGGTCACACCATTGAGAGTGTGTGTGACTTCCCTTGGGAATCTAGAACTTCACGTTGAACACCGAGATGCCACCAAACACTGTTGAAAAGCCGCCCTTTCTCAGTGCGAGGTGTCAGTCCTACGTGGTGAAGGTGAGCGCTTCCCTTTTCAAAGTCGGGGTGACTTTCCTGCATCACGAGGCTGTGACTGGGGGGAAGCAGAGAAAGGGTGGTTCTCTCTCCACCTCTCCTGTCCCTCACCTCTTCGTGGTTCCGGAGAGCCCTGCCTATGCGG